AAATAAATAAATAAATAAATAAATAAATAAATAAATAAATAAATAAATAAATAAATAAATAAAATATCATAACATAAGACCCTAAAAGCAAACATATTCCATGGAGCTTTCCTTGTAATGGTACTACTGTCACTTCTAAACAATTTAAGGATGATGGAAGAAGAATTCTTTCCCTTACACAAATTTGGAAAAATTACATGCATTTCTATATCAACACTAATAATAATTTTGAAACAGGATTTGTGCCTGTATTATTATCATTATTTCCTCCTTCTGCATGTGCCCCTCCTCCTCTAATATTTTAAAATAGCTTTTAAAAAATATACATAACTATGAGAAAGAGAAGAAAGACAAAATGTTGGTGTTTCATGCACTGACAATGAAAGTTACAAAATGGAGAGGAGAAGCATAATGTTGAGGAAGAAGTTAGAAGTGGATGGTATTTTTGCCAAATGGTACCAAATGGGTGATAAGCTGCTGATTATGGTGACAAATACTTCAGTGTGATAAACACAAAAAGAGCACTGTTAGCCTCCTAGCTTTGTCTCTCATGGTGATTCTTCTGACCACTTGCCAATGGAAGTGAGGAATAAATGTAATTATTAGGATAGTTTGGGAATGCAAGAATACCTTTGGAAAATAATATTGCTGTACATTTTTGCCATTCTTGAATACTTTTATTAATTCCTGTCATGTTTTTCCCTTCAGCTTCATCACTACCTGAAAAAAGTTTCATTTAACAACAGTTTTGAAGAAAAAATTTTCTTTGACCATAATGGGAAGGTTGCAACTGGTTTTGATATTATCAACTGGGTCACCTTCCAAAATCTATCCTTTCTTAGGGTCAAAGTTGGAAAAGTAGATCCGTCAGTTCAATTTGAAAGCCTTCTCTCTCTATCAGCAAATAATATTGTCTGGCCCAATATTTTTAACCAGGTAACATTTATTCATTTTTTTAAGGATGGTTCACTTCACATACTTCAGCTGATATTTAAATGGCTCACTTGAACAGATGCACAAATTAAGGAATCAAGTACATGAAAGGCAAAATTCTTCATACACAGGATTTCAAAGAGGATTTTGCCTAAGAAAAATTAATCTGATATGCTCCTCCTTGAGAGTTAAGTAACACAAATCTTTTATATTTATCAAATAAACAAGAGATTTTTCTATTTACATACCTGATTATTCTAGAAGGATGTTTTAAGGAGTAAACTAAGCCTAGTAAACTAACATAAAATTATTGATAATTCTAATAAAAAAAGGAAAGGAAATATTCCTCTAAAATGGCAATGTCTTAGATTGCTAATGTTCAAATTCTAAATATATTGCTTTTTCCTTTACTAACAGACACAACCTCTTTCTCTGTGCAATGATCATTGCTCCTTGGGGTACAGCAAGATCAAAATAGAAGGGAAGCCATTTTGCTGTTATAAATGCCTTCTTTGCCCAGAAGGTAAAATTGCCAACCAGACAGGTAAGAGAATCCATGAAAGAAAAGTTCATAGCTTATAGCTCTGAAAGTGAATAGGTTCAAAATACAATCATCCCTACAGATCCTAAAAATAGAATTTTTTTAACAGAACATTCCTGAGATTGTCCCAGGTAAAAATGGCTCCAACTCACAAATATGAAATCAAACAAGGATAAATTGGGTAAACTGAAATACTGTATAGTGAACATAATAGGTAATCCATAGAGATCCATGCATATACCAGGCACTGCAGAGATCAATACAGTGGCCAATAGATTTGAAGAGATCAGTCTACACTGCAGTATGATAGAGAAAGAGGGAGAGACTTAAGAGAGTGTTCAAATTAAAGCACAATATTTATAAATTCCAATACTTGCAAAACAATACTCAGGATCATTTCACCTAAGGTAGAATCCTGTATACCAAATGTTCAGGCTAGCTTTATTTATTTATTTATTTTATTTATTTATTTGATTTGTCAATTGTTTACAAGATAATAAGTATAAATGTATACATAGTTGTGAATACATGAAATGGGTACATATAAGAAAAATAAAAGAATAAGAGAAACAATAGGACAGGGACGGTAGGCACGTTGGTGCGCTTTGATTATGCATTCTTATAATTGTGAAAGGCAAAGAACACTAAAAGAAGTCACTATGTTCTTCATTGATTGCATTCCATTTCTGTGACAATCCCTGCCCTATGGAACATTCTCCCCCATGAGACTATTATTGTTGGTGTTGTTTTATTAGTGATATTGTTTTAATTTTTGACTGGTAGATATCTGGAGTTTGGTCTAAGATGAGCAGCTACATACATGTTTTAAACCAATTAGTAAAATATGCATTATGTGAAGATCAAGGGGAAGATAATCAGCAAAAAGGCAGATGGATTCAGAGGAAGGATGCTTGAGAAACAAACAATTACAAAAATTGTGCATGCAGTGTAATATCAAGGTTTGTTTCCTCTAAAGCAATAGTATGAGATTCAATCAAATATCAAATGTGCATATCAAATCAAATCATATCATTTCACATCATGTCACAGTATTTTCTAAGGAGTTGATATCAGTCAATTCAATTAATATAATGAAGGTGAGTCCTGTAATACAATACTTCTGAATTTTGAGGAAGCCTGAGCTGACACATTTTTTTCCTCTTTTAGATTTAGATGACTGTTTCTCATGTCTGGAAGAAAACTACCCTAACAAGGACCAAAATCTGTGTATTAAAAAACACACAGTCTTCTTGTCTTACAAAGAACCCTTGGGAATCAACTTGACCAGTGTTGCTTTCCTCTTTTCTTTCATCTCAGTTGTGGTGCTGGGGATCTTCGTTAAACACCAGGACACACCCATTGTCAAAGCTAACAACAGAAACCTCACCTATATTCTTCTTATTGCTCTTCTGTTTTCTTTCCTTTGTGTTTTGCTCTTCATTGGGCAACCAGAGCAAGTAAAATGTTTTATGCGACAAACTGCTTTTGGAATCAGCTTTTCTGTTGCCCTTTCTTGTATATTGGGGAAAACCACAATAGTTGTTCTTGCTTTCATGGCCACCAAGCCAGGTTCCAAAATGAGGAAATGGGTGGGGAAAAGCCTGGATAATATTATTGTCCTATCTTGCTCCCTAGTGCAAATCACCATTTGTAGTATATGGTTAACAACTTCTCCTCCATTCCCAGATTCAGACATGCACTCAATATCTGATAAAATTGTCCTAGAATGTAATGAAGGTTCAGCCTACATGTTTTATATTGTCCTTGGCTATATGGGTTTTTTGAGTGCTATCAGCTTCATGGTGGCCTTCCTTGCCAGGAAGTTACCTGATAGCTTTAATGAAGCCAAATTTATCACCTTCAGCATGTATGTCTTTTGTAGTGTCTGGGTGTCATTTGTTCCTACCTATTTGAGCACCAAGGGGAAATACATGGTGGCTGTGGAGATCTTCTCCATTTTGGCCTCTGCAGCTGGATTACTGGGCTTCATCTTTCCCCCCAAATGTTACATTATTGTGCTGAGGCCTGATTTGAATAGAAAGGAACAACTTGTAAAGAAACAAAAGTAAACTTAAATTCCAGGTTTCTTTTATTATTATTTATTTATGTATTCAGCATTTTACTTCTTAGTCTGTAGTTCAAGCTTTATTCAGATGAACTGGTTTAAATTTGGTTAAGTTTGTTCAGATACAATTTTTTAACTTAAAATAATCCATGTATGCACTGCAGTGTTGGGATGCAGCCAGTTCACACTAGTTCTAGTGAACTGGTAGCTTCAATGGTCAGTTTGCCCTGCCTACCTGCTCCTGCTGTTTCCTGTCCTATTTTCCTGTTTTTTAGCTCAGCTGATTCATATGGCAGAGCTGTTTTACTCACCAGCACTGACATAGAAGGTCATTTCAAGCTTAAAATGAGTGGTTTTTGAATGCTGCGTGCATGCTCTCATAGAACTGGTAGTAAAAAAATTTGAATCCCACCAATGATGCACTGCATAAGAAACACAACTACTTCATTATCTTAGCAGTAGATACATTTTCTTAAAAAATATAGGACTTGCCATATATTAATCTTTCATCTATTTATATTTGATGCCAACTATTCTATGCAGTTAAATGTTACATTAAGTAGAAAAAGATCAGTCTGAGGAAAAATCTCATTTCCACACAAACTATTGAGTTTTCAAATTAGAATTCCAGAGGGGGAAAAAGATTGAAAATTCCCTGCCCCTTCTTCCCAGCTTTTCTCTGAATTCACAAAATGCTTTTTCCAGCGATTATTATTTTTTATCTTTGTCAACAATACAAAACCATGTATATATGGTTCATATATATTCAATGAGTCCATCATTATATCAGATATTTTAACACCAGAAAACAATAAAATCTTTACTGCAGTTATTATAATAAATATAGAAATAGAATAACATAAAGATGGATATTTTAATGAAATGTTTAAAACAAACAAACACAAATTGGAATAATTAGGTTATCTAAGTACCACAAAGAGAACAAAAGAGAAGAGTATTTTCCCACTGATCTATATGAATTTCAAATTTCATTGTATTTGTAGAATGCAATGACAATAAAGGTATTCTATTCTATGTAGTACACTAGAAGATGGCTGAAGAAAAAGAACAAAGGAATAGCTTATAAAACTGGAAAACAATAGAAATTCACTACAAATGTTTATAAGAGCTATATAAATATAATAGCATAAAAAAGGAATAAATTAATCTTGTTAGAGGAACTGTACATTTTTTCCCAATAATAAACAATAAGGTTGCATTCTCTCTTTGTACATCAGGACTGGTATTCCAGGGATTCAGACCAGTTCAGGAGAACCTCTAGGGAAAATTTTAAGCGGTTCATAGAACCAGTAGGGAAAATTCTGACTGGCCCTGCCCACCAGCCTCCACTCTTGATAGAACAATGGGAAAACATACATTTGAAAGAATTGAAATTCACACTATGGTATTGTGGGAAGAAATATCCATCTGGTTCAGTTCCAAGCTGGAAGAAAGACACTGGAAACAAAATGGAGGCTGATTGGAAAGATGATTTAATGATGAAGCAGAACCAGTAAGCGCATGGTTCTGGTGCAGCTGACCACATGGAGTTGAGAGTGGGGGGTGGGGTTATACTTTCTCTTGGGCTTTGCACTTGAGCTTCCTGTTCCTGTGCAAAAACATGTATTCTATTGGCTGTTGTCAGACTCCCATGGGGCCATGTAGGGGTTATGTAGGGGTCATGGCTGGCTCTATAGGCAAGGTACAAATCCTAGGAGTTGTCTGAGGTTTGGTTAAAATTTGGATGGCTCTGATATGATGCAATGACTGAAATACCCTTAGGAATTTGTGCAATGTAGTGAGCTCTGTGTCTTCTGCTAAATGGTAGTGGGTTATTACCAGGGGTGGGATTCTACCAGTTTGCACCTATTCGCTTGAACTGGTTGTTAACATTCTAAGTAGTTCAGGGAACTGGTTGTTAGAAGAAATTACTGGAGCTTCCGGTTTGTTGGCTTCGCGAGCGGCAGGGATTTGCGAAGCTGCGCGATCCCTGCCACGCTAGCCGCTTTTGGGGCTCCGACGCAGACGGGTACAGAGCTAGGCTGCCCTGCAGGGGCAGCTGAAGGTAGGGGGGATCCGGAGAGGGGTTTGGGGGTGTTGCAGACCCCCTCCCCGGCCGGTAGAACCCCCTTTTCCCAGGACGGTGCAGCGGCGGTCCGTAATGGCCGCCACAAAGAAGCTGGCAGCCGGGTAAGAATGCGCAGGAGGAAGTGGAGAAAGTGCTTGAGAGGAGAAAGTTTTTTCTTGGCTCCTAGGACTCTAAGACATATTTAATAAAATTCCTGAAAAGTATGACTTTCTGAATAATACCTGCCAGAAGAGGAAAAAAGCGGCAGTTTGATGGTGCTGAAAGGATAGCTTTCCCTCTTTTCCTACGGAATAAATAACTGGATATTAAGAAACCTATTTTTTTTAGGTGAAAATTGGTTTTAAGCGATGAGTGGGAAGAGAGAGGATTAAAAAGAAAATATTTGTATGCTAAGACTTTGTTGGAGGAGATGCCTTAAGGATTTGAAGACTAGAATATATTGCAATAAGATTTTAAACAGATTTGGACTTTCTTTCTCTTTGATTGATATTACCCCAGAAGGAGAAAGTGAGAACTCTGCCTTGGTTTGGACTGACTGATAACTTTGGGACTGCTTTATTTTTTTTTATTTTCTTCTGAATATTCTGGTTGTTGTAAGAAGAAAGAAGGGGAAAAGAAAAGAAAAGATTTATAATGGCTTTTTCTGTTGAGGAACTAAGAAAAGAATATGAACAAGCAAAAAAAAAATGGTAAAGATGGTGTGGAAGAAGCTTTCCTTTTTTTAGAAATGGCGCTTACTAACTATCAACAAACATTACAACAGATGAAGACAGCAGAGGAACAAGAAAGAAAGGAAGGAGCCATTTTTAATGAATCTCAGAATTTGATCAAGAAAGAAGGAAGAGAGAAAAGAAGAGAACTAAACAACTTAAGATCTAAAAAAACATTTAAGAAAGGGAAAAATAAGGTGCAAAATCAATATGATGATAGTAAACAAAAGGGAAAAGGAATACGACAGAGAAGGGAAGCCAGTAAGGCAGAGGCTAGAAGAAGGGGGGGGGGTAGAAAGGTTTGTTGGGAGAAGAAAGAAAGGGAAAAGGTGGAGAAAAGCTACAACGTTTTGAAATTAAATGAAAAAAAGGAATTTTTTAATGGATAATGGATAAAGTATAATTTTTTTAAAAAAGATTTTGCAAGGTACATAAGATGAGATGGTAGTATTGTAATGGTTTAAGAGTTGATAAGAGATTAAAATGTTAAAATGTTTAATAATGATTGGCTTTAAAATTTAATAATAGGGGAGGTTTAGAATACTGTTTTAATTAAAGAGTTTAATAAGATTATGGTATTGATGTTATTATAAAATTTTTATTATAGTATTTGTTTTTAATATTTGGATTTATTGTCTAATTATGTATTTAATTATTTTGGATGTACTAGTTAGATAGAATGTACCAAGCAAAATCGGATTGGGTATTGGATGTTATCTTAAAGGTTAATTTGATTAACTTAGTGGGGAGATAGAAAGGCATCATACTCTGATTAATGATTTCAGGAGAAACTTATTTTCTTCTTTTTTATAAGGAATGAGACAAAGGGATGATAAAAAATGGACAAAAGATACAAATATAATGATTCAAACTAAGATGATTAATTAAGGTAGAATTAAGAAGTGTGAAATATGTGGAGAAGTTAATATAGAAGGCTTAGAATGGTAAATAAAATAAGTAATGATATGTAAGATGAGCATGAATATAATTGAAGTCCATGAAGAGAGAGATACCTGGGTCCAAGTTACTTTCCAAAAAGATTTTTTTAATGTTTTGTGTGTTGTGTGTATATGTTTTTTTTGGGGGGGGAGAATTAGTAAAAACTTGCAGAAATATAGAATGAGAATAATGGTAACTAAGTCAGAAAGAAATAGATGAAATAATAATAATGATATTGAATAAGAGTAAAGAGAAGTAAAGAGAAATTGAATAAGAGGTTTTTGTATGTTATATGGAAATGGTTTAAAACAGAATCATAATTTATCTGACTTGTTAAATTTACAATGAAAAAAGGTTTAAACATGTAATGAATAATGATAATTTGTGTGTTTTAAAAATTAATAAAACTTGTTTAAAAAAAAAAAAAGAAAGAAATTACTGGCCTAATCCTGTAAGAAAGGCAGGAAGGAAACATTCTGGTGTTGCTTACAAAAACTGCCTCTCCATTAACCCTTATTACATGCTTGGCAGGACTAGACTTCCTGTCTCAGGAACATCTCTGGAGTTTTTTTTTTCTTCCTTTGCTGGTACTTTGCTTGTGTGGAGTGACCATTCAAAGTTACAATGGCACTGAAAAAAGTTACTTATAACCATTTTCCACACTTACAACTGTTGCAGCATCCCCACAGTCATGAGAAGCCAGGCAAGGAGATGTGTGCCTTGATGTGAGTGATATTGAGTTGGCCGCGCTCAGCCAATAACATGACCACCAAGCCACGTCCACCTAGTCACATGACCACCAAGCCATGCCTACCAACTAAGCCATGCCCATAGAACCGGTTGTTAAAAATTTTTAATCCCACCTGTGATGACCCAGAGTATATCAGAAATATAACAAAACCTAAAATGTAACTAAAAGTCCTTTAATGCCTTCAACTTCGCTTCACTGTTTAATTGTTCACAGTGGAGGAGTAAACTATTTTCAAAATAACATTTTAAAGGAAAGCTCAAATTCCAAGAACCGATAACAAAGCAAAAACAGTACTGAATAAAGTTCCACGACAGACCAGGGTAGATAATTGCCCACTTCAGGAAGATAATGGGAACACTCTGTTGGAAGAACGCTAACCAAGATAAACTTTCTTTAGGTATAAAACACTAAATTGTCTCCAGCATCTGTTAGCACTCAGGTCCAACTTTTTATGCAGATCTCACACCTGCAATCCATGAAGAGGATCATGGCCCTCTCCTCCTGAGTAGACCACA